GGATCTTGGGCACGCATGCACACGTGCCCGGCGTGAGTTTTAAGCCACCGGGTCCGGGACATGAACTGCGGTCAACTACGTGGGAGTCCAGCGACATAGCCATTATGCTAACTGCTGGTTCCCCGAGGTCTAACATTTCTTTGAGGAAGCCTTTCTTGACCACCCAGACCAGAATAAATGTACTGTAAGTCAGTACTTCCAATATAATGTTATAAATATGAATGTTATTATTCTTTTGGGCTAGATTCTAAATTTTCTGGAGGTTGAGACCCTATCTTCCCTTGTGAGTCAAGTACCACGAAATTGCATAGTACTGTACCACCAGTTGGCCCAACATTTTTTTTTTTAAACAAAGAATTTCCTTTTAATTTAACTTTATTTATTTTAATTTGACCAGAGAGACAGAGAGTGAGTGAGACAGGAAGTGAGAAAGCAAGCTGCCAGGGCTGGGAGTTGAACCATGGTCAGCCATGTGGGAGTCCACTGCGCTTAATCACCATGCCACATGCTGGCCCCAACGTTTTCCATTTTGGGGGTTTGTTTCCATTTTATTTATTTATTTAAATGATTATTTATACATTTACTCACTATACATCATTTAGATTGTAGAGACTTTACTCAGCAAAATATACACCTCAGTACATTTTTCATTTTTAACAATTATTTTTTCACAGCCAGCAGGTGGCATGGTGGTTAAGGGTGATGGACTCCAGTGTAGCTGACTGGTTAGAGTCCCAGACCACGTGGCTTGCTTTCTCAATATCCCTCTCTCTCTCTGTCCCTCAAAAGAAGAAAGGGAAGGAGGTGGGGAGGGAGGGAGGGGGGAAGAAAGGAAGTTAAATACAATAATTCTTTAAAAAATTTTAAATTTTTTCTTTTGGTTTATGATCTATATCCTTTACCCATTTATAGTCTTAATATTAATGTGAGCGAACATGAGCAATTAAAAAATACCTAGAAGCTACAGCAAAACAGAAGATACATTTTAATGTATTTTATTCAACCCAATGAATATCAATATAACACAGTGTGTTAAAACATTAAATACGTAATCTAAAAAACTTTTAAAGTATTACTTATTATTTAAATTTC